AAAAAAAGAACTAAACACAAATAAATACACTTAAGCTAAATACTTCTAATTTCATTTCCCAAACCACCCGGAGCTGCAAAATAAAGACTAAAGAGCCGCATGCGGCTCCGGAGCCGCGGGTTGCCGACCCCTGAGTTAGGGGGTTAGGGCTAAATTAGACTTGCTGAACACAATAATAGCTCATTTTGTAAATTACATTTAAAAAGGGATTAATCAGAAGGGTGCCAATGAGACAAAGAGACACTGCCTTCCCAACGTGGTCCCTAACTCAGCTGGAGGCTTCACAACAGGAATTCACTAACCAATAGGTAATGTGGCAGTGGCTGCATTCATCCTTTATATACAGCCTATGGAAAAATCACATATTAAATTGCTAGAAAGACATATTGATTAAAACGTCGTCACAGGAAGAGTCATTCCTTTGCAGAACAATTTAAGTGTGACACTGCGAGTGGACCACAGAAATACCCTTTTGCTCATAAAACTTCCTAATGTATTCAGCAATGGCGCGCTCATGATTAAGCTCTTTCCTGAACAACATAATATAACATTTTGGGGCCAAATGACAACCAAGGATGCTGAAGCAGGAAGTGAGGATGGCTGCACTTTGTACTGCTGGTTGGTATTTCCCTGTCAAGGTCAAATAAATGGGGAGGAAGATGATCCACATGACTACAAACAGCAGCATACTGATGGTGATCAAAGAAGCATTTTTGTACAAATCTGGCAGCTGTCTACCTTTGTATGCAAACAGGAAACAAATAAGGCCCAAGAAAGTGTTGTAGACTAACATGGCTATAAAGTATGTATGGGGCTCAATCTTACAGTTGTATAGGATAGTGTAATCTAAAGATTTATTGTCAGGATGTGGTGGTTCTTTGGTCAGCCATGAGACAGATAGGCCTAACTGAATCCCAGAGATGATGGTCACCACCACCAATGGCTTATTCAGCTTCTTTATCCAAGACTCTGCCTTAAGGTCAAACTTGAAGCCCAAGAAGATCTGAAGCAAGTTTGCCAGAATGCAAGAGTTGCAGAGAGTTAAGGCTATGCCGAAGAGAGGAACACCTACACAGTGAATCTTCTCAGTAGGTTTGCCTATGAAGGTGAATGTAAGACAGAAGCCAGCCACCAAGGAAAAAAGCTCCAGAAAACACAAATAACCTCCAACTGCTTTCACAATGGGAGTTTTCAGATATACTGCAAACAGAACAGCAAACACAACGGTAGCAATGATCCCAACGACTGCAAGGGAGCTGAGAATGATTGAGAAGGGATCTTCCCAATCGAGATAGTCATCCCTTTTTTTCAAACATGTATTCTCTTTAGGATGAGAATATGCCCCATCTTCACAATGCTTGCATGTTGAATCTGCAGAAGGAAACAAAAACACAAGTAGCACAAGTAAAGAAGACAATATTTTTCTATCCTATAATCATTTGGAAAGAAAAAAAGCTGCAATCATAAATTAATATTAAACAGGCAAGTATAATGAATGCATAATGCACTTTGCACATTTAGGAAGACAAGATAGGCAATAAAATTAGATCTGGACTCAGGACTCGAAATGCAGGACTCGCAACACGGGAATGAACTCAAAAGGACAGTTTATTGTAGACGCAGGAAAATGATACAACTAATGATGAAATAAACTAGACTGGGAAAATATAATCTAACGTTCCACAGAGTGGCACACAAAGGATCACATAGCATGAGGAACGACGCAACACGGAACAGAGGGGGACTCTGACATAAATACACAGAGGGTAATGAGGGAAGTGGAAGCACACAAGGAACACAGCTGAGGACAATTACACTTGACAGGAATGGGAGGACACGAAACTGAAAACGCTGACACCAAGACATGGACCTTAAACGTAACACAGGAAGTACAGAGAGAGAGAGAGAGAGAGAGAGAGAATGAAGAAATATACGAAGGGAAGACGAAAACACAGAACACAAGGGGTGGGAGCAAAGCACAATAACGCACATCATGATATAGACAGTCACACAGAGGGAGACACAGAAGGCAACGACACAGGGGGAACAAACAGACAGAGAAGACTTAAACACAGAAGACTAAAGTAATCGTTACATTCACCAAATGCTGGAGGGCACAGAGAAACAAGAGGGGATCAAAACCCAGGAAGCATAAAATAAATCACAAATGAACCAGACATAACACAAAAATCACAAAGAACTGAAAACACTAGGTCAGGAGACCCAGGACCCTGAGTGTGACTCCAAATCCAGACCTCCATGGGTTGCTACATTTGATTTCTATTGATAATTTTTGTGTGATTTTGTTGTAAGCACATTCAACTATGTAAAGAACAAAGTTTTTGAATATTTCATTCATTCAGATCTGCGTTACCTTTGTTTTTTTGAGCAGTGTAATTTAGATTTGGAATAAAAGACTTACGATTTCCATCAGAAATCTCTCCACTTGCACACGGAGCACAAACTCCGCAACACTTTCCTTTTAATGTAAATCCTTGTCCTGCGTCACATTTTTTTGAGCAATTGTAAACAGAGACCTGCAAAAGAAACAGTAGCATGAGTACATGATTCATAAACCTTAATGGGACATAAATGAATGTTAAAAACTCATCTCACCATGTCATTTATGAGGTGTCTGAAAAGGTCTGTTTGGACTGTAATTTTTCCATCTGGACTGTATTCTCCAATAGTTTGTATTATCATACTCTTGTTGCAATCAGACCTGTTCCAGTATACAATATCATATCCCAAACTGGGATCTCCATCACTATCGAAGTATATTTGTGTGTTGTTCTCAGTAAAGTTTACTTTCTGGATTTCCGATAGAAGCTGTGAAAAAACCAAAACATCATAAAGGAAGAAAGACATTTTTATGAAATAAAATCATCACAAACTGCAATATATTTGAAATTTTAATGTTTAACCTTTTCTAAGAAAAACTTACATATCTACCAATAAACAAGACAAATGTCGATAGTTTAGCAGTGGGTGCTGTGGAATGTGTAACATCTCTGCCCAGAAAAAGGGCAACATTGTGTAAAAGAAAATTGGAAAATTTGCAAATCATTTAAAATTTAAGAAGTTAATATTAATCATTGTTGTTGTTGTTGTTTTTAAATTGTTAGCTGTTTGGAGGTTATTGAAATGGTTTGTTTGGACTTTCAGCTGAGATTTTGACATTTTTGTAGGGACCACACATGTCTATATTTAAGTAACAGAATAATAATGAATAATAATGATAATGAAGTTATCTTGCAGGCCGGATATAATTGTATCTGGCTCGTATGTTTGACACCCCTGGTTTAAATGATTGAACATTTGGACTGCAGGCAAGACAGCTTAGGGTGTTTTTAGTAAAGTGCCATGCTGCTGAAATA